ACTCCTGCAGCTTCTTCGACTGTTTCTTTTAAGGCTCCTTCAACTCCTGCTGCCGCACCTTCTTCGACACCTTCAACTTGTTCAGTTCCTTTAGCTCCTTCGGCATCCTCAGTTTCCTTTCTGACTCCTGCAGCTTCTTCGAATCTTTCCTTTCCGGCTCCTTCAACTCCCTCTGCTTCTTCTTTTTCTTTTCCAGCTGCTGCACCTTCTTCGACACCTTCAATTTGTTCAGTTCCTTTAGCTCCTTCGGCTTCTTTAGCTTCCTTTCTGACTCCTGCAGCTCCTTCAGCTGTTTCCTTTCCGGCTTCTTCAACTGCTTCTGCTTCTTCTCTTTCTTTTCCAGCTGCTGCACCTTCTTCGACACCTTCAATTTGTTCAGTTCCTTTAGCTCCTTCGGCATCCTCAGCTTCCTTTCCGACTCCTGCAGCTTCTTCGACTATTTCCTTTCCGGCTCCTTCAACTGCTTCTGCTTCTTTTTCTTTTCCAGCTTCTCCACCTTCTTCGGCTCTTTCAACTTGTACAGTTCCTTTAGCTCCTTCGGCTCCTTCGGCATCCTCAGTTTCCTTTCTGACTCCTGCAGCTTCTTCGAATCTTTCCTTTCCGGCTCCTTCAACTCCCTCTGCTTCTTCTTTTTCTTTTCCAGCTGCTGCACCTTCTTCGACACCTTCAATTTGTTCAGTTCCTTTAGCTCCTTCGGCTTCTTTAGCTTCCTTTCTGACTCCTGCAGCTCCTTCAGCTGTTTCCTTTCCGGCTCCTTCAACTCCTTCAGCTTCTTCTCTTTCTTTTCCAGCTGCTACGCCTTCTTCGACACCTTCAACTTGTTCAGTTCCTTTAGCTCCTTCGGCATCCTCAGTTTCCTTTCTGACTCCTGCAGCTTCTTCGACTGTTTCCTTTCCGGCTCCTTCAACTTCTTCTGCTTCTTCTTGAACACTTTTTGTGCGTGATATTTGACTTTTCATCATCAAAATAATTGGCGAAGTCGATGTCCACAGATTCGAATGCAGCCATGTTGTATGCTCTGCTTCATATGAAGAGGACGGCGGCATTTCTGCTTCTTCCACAGTTGGCCATTCTCCTTTTTGTTGCAGTTTCTTATACTCCATGTCTACTGCTCCAGCCGCTTCGATCACTTCTGTTCCTCCATCTCCTTCAATTCCTTCACTTTCTTTTCCAGCTGCTACACCTCCTTCGGCTCCTTCGATTTGTTCAATTCCTTTAGCTCCTTCGGCTTCCTCAACTTCCTTTCCGACTCCTGTGGCTTCTTCAGCTTCTTCTCTTTCTTTTCCTGCTGCTACACTTTCTTCGACTCCTTTAATTTTTTTAGTTCCTTCAACTCCTTCAGGTTGTTCAGTTCCTTTAGCTCCTCCTGTTTCCTCAGCTTCTTTTTCGGCTCCTGCAGCTTCTTCGACTCTTTCCTTTCCAGCTCCTACTACAACTCCATCGGCTTCTTCTTGGCCACTTGTTGTGCGTGAAATTTGACTTTTCATCATCAAAATAATTGGCGAAGTCGATGTCCACAGATTCGAATGCAGCCATGTTGTATGCTCTGCTTCGAATGAAGAGGACGGCAGCATTTCTGCTTCTTCCACAGTTGGCCATTCTCCATTTTGTTCCAGTTTCTTATATTTCAGATCTACTGCTCCAGCTGCTTCGGTCACTTCTGCTCCTCCGTCTCCTTCAATTCCTTCACTTTCTTTTCCAGCCATTACACCTTCTTCGGCTCCTTTAGCTCCTTCAGCTCCTTCAACTTCTTCAGGTTGCTCAGTTCCTTTAGCTCTTTCGGCTTCCTCAGTTTTCTTTCCGATTCCTGCAGCTTCTGCCACTCTTTCCTTTCCGGTTCCTTCAGCACCTTCAATTCCTTCAGTTTCTTCTTTTTCTTTTCCAGCTGCTACATCTTCTTCGGCTCCTTCAGTTCCTTTGGTTCCTTCAACTGCTTCAGGTTGTTCAATTCCTTTAGCTCCTTCAACTCCTTCAGGTTGTTCAGTTCCTTTAGCTTTTTCTCCTTCCTCAACTTCCTGTCCGACTCCTACAATTTCTTCGACTCTTTCCTTTCCGGCTCCTTTAACTCCTTCAGCTTCTTCTCTTTCTTTTTCAGCTTGTAAAGCTTCTTTGGTTTCTTCTTCACCGCTTGTTGCGCGTGAAACTTTACCCACCATAGTCGCAGGGATTGGCGAAGACGGTGCTTCCAGTTTCGAATCTTTTTTAGCTTTGCTACCGAAGTCTGTGGATATTTCCACAGCTGAAGTTATTTCTGTCTCCTGTTCATTATTTTGTTTCGTGATTTCATCAATTAACCATATTTCAGAGTTGTCTGTTGGTGCTTCCTCAAAGAACTGATTGGATGATGATTTTGTCTTTGTCGCTGTATAGTCAATTTCGGTCTGCGGAACACAATGACAATTGCATGTGCATTGGTTCTGTTTGATTTGTTTCACAAATGAGAATTCTGGAATCGATTTTATTAATTTTTGTAAGGTACGAAGCTGTTGTTGTTTAAGTTTTTCTTTTGCACTTGATATTTTAATCTTGCGTCCTGTCTTTGGTAGTTCTCTAGGATCTTATAAGCTGAGTACCAGATATGCCTTCTTCTTTATGTTCAGCTGGGTTCTGAGATGTGTCGGTTACTGCGTAAATATTTCTGCTGTAGAATCATTTTAAATTCGTTCGAATAGTTTTTCATGCATTGTATTCTTTTAAAGCGTATAATATCTCTCTCTCCAGTGTTTTTGACTTCTCTTTTATGCTTTTTTTGTCTTTGCTTTTTTCTCTAGTCCATTGTTAATTTTATTTCGACAAAAATAATTTGTTTTGGTTTTCAGCCTATTTCCTAAATATATTTTTTAGTCCTTTTTTCTTACCGTCCAAATTATTAAATTTCGTCTCAAAAGAGAGCTCTATTTCCTGGAAAATTTAACGAAGTTGAAAAATCAAATCTAATAATGTTTCACTGCCCATTCTATAGGTGACCTTAGTAGAAGTACAATTGAAATATAATCTCATATCGCTTTTCAGATACGTCCTTTTACATATCTATTTCATAGCTATTATTGTTTTTTTTGCAAAACGTTGTTAAATTTTTCAGAAAACAGAGTTCTCTTTGAGACTAAATTTAATAATTTGGATTGATACTATCGTTTTTGCGAATATGGCCATAAATGAATGGCAATTTTTTTCCTATGCTTAGTCTCAAAAATTAATTTTATAAAATTAAAGAAAGCTTATTCGAGAGATGTATTGATTCTTATTGTGGTTGCTTATCATTTCCTAACTTATACTATTTATTGTGATATGTTAGCGTATACTCACTTTAATTTTTTCATTCACTCAACTTGTGTTATTTTGCCTGTAATATTTTGTTTGTTGTGTCTTTTGCTATCATTCTTCATTAAGCTCCAATTATCTGTCAATATTAAAAGTTTAGCTTGAGGTTTAATTTATTTTTAGCAAGAAAAAATTGATAGAAAGAAATTATCGAAACCTTTCCGTCCATCAGGATGTATTTTTTTATGCAGTGAAGTTGCAATGGATATCCTAGTCAGAATGGAAAACAACAGTACCAGCAGCATTAAATTGTGCATTTGCTGAAGCTGAAAAGTAGATCCAGTTATCGATTATATCTATAAATATAAAATGCGAAAATACGGTGTTAGTCACTTTCCTTCTTCATATATTAGTAGCGAGATAAGCATAGACAATGACATAATAATTGTTATTCCTTTTGAATGTATACCGATAACTACCAATAAAATAGTCCTGTTTTTAATGAGAAGTTTTCTAAATAAGCCATTTTCATAACTCAAAGTTATTATCAGCTTAAAAGATATTTTGAAAGTTTATTTGCAACAATGTAATTACAATCGCAGTAAAGTTAAAAGACAGTAATGAACATTGTGAAGAAATGAAAAAAGTCATTGACGGAGGATTCAAAAATAGTCCTCAAAAATAGTCTTTGATCTCATCTCGCCACATGTATTTTATTATTGAAGACATAGTTTCAATGCAATTTTGGTCTATGAATCTAATTGACAACCCGCAATTTTCTTCTTTAGCAAAATTTGTTGATTAGAAATTTATTGATTAGCATAGGTAATTTTTTGACCTGCTTTTTTAATGGTTACGACAAAAATGATATTTATCGCTAGTTATGCACCACGGATCATCAGTCGTCATAACTTTTAATCAAAATCACTTAAAACTATTAGGCTGTAACATTGACGAAATAAAGCCATCATCAGGTGGTGTGTTACATGACACCATTGATTTGTTTAAATTGAGAGACTAAAATTACTGAAAATTTATTTTCAATTTTTAGGAACTCATGCCAACATTTGAATTAATCATCCGCGATATAATTAGTACTCTCTTTTAAAGACTAACTATTTGAATAAAAGAAATAAAGAAAAAATTAAAATTCAGATACTTGCTTCCTTAATGGTAAATAATTCCGAAAAACTGATACTGTACAGAAAATTGTTCTTTACAAAAAAGTAATAATAAATGGTATTTTAGTCGCCATAGCTAGTTAATCAAATGTATCTACCAATAATCCAAGGCGAAGAGTTCTAAATTAATTGACTCTCTTTGAATTGGCGAAAATTATTTACTAATTGGTAAAAAGGCTATTTATCACTGGTTTTATTGCAAAATTATATTACTTTTTTTTTTCCAAGGCTATTTATCACTGGTTTTATTGCAAAATTATATTGTCATTTACTAGCCAAATGCAAAATCTAAGTGTCTTCACTTTCAAATTATTTAATTACAGAAATTTCTGTGCTATTGAAAATTTCTGGGACATAAGGTTTAAAATTTAAGTTATCTAAGAAAGTTTGTTGCGGAAATGAGTATATAACTTTGAAATAGAAGATCGACAAAAGTTTATGAAATGAAATTTGAGATATATACCAGAAGGAGTTTGAACTTTATGGGTGCACAAAGTGACATTATTTGGGAGATGAACTGTAAAGATATATTTGCAATGTAAAGTATTGCGAAGAGATTTGGAATTGAGGACGGGATATTGATTATGCTTTAAGTATTAATTAAATTCTGTATCAAATTATATAAATTCATCTTAAACAATGAAATCATTGTTAAACTAACTGATCGAATTAAAAAGAATATGTCATATGAATTTTTTTTTATTGCAAATAACATAAATTTAATAATTTGTGAAACAAATCGAAATAAAAGCGAAACGAATCAAATAGAAGGAAAAAGATAGAACGAAATGATGACATTTTCAAAAAAGTTTCAATGTTGATTTACACTTGCTATTAATGATGAAAAGAAACGTAAATTATAAGAGATTGAAAAAAACTTCAAGAAAATTGCTGATCATCGTTTTTGTCGAGCAATGTTTTGACTTTTAATTGAGATAGATGTAAGCAAAACTTCCCCAACAATATGGCCAAAATATTCGAAGCCACGGTCAAATCGCATTTGCAATTAACCCATCGGCTGCACTCGTTATGATTGACTTATCACATCTATTAAATAGTAGCAGATTTTTCGCCACTTGTTTGAAATTTTCAAAAATATATTTCACAGTCCATCGGCAGCATTTGAGAATTGTTAATCTCTCACCCAATGGAATGGATACTCAGTGGGAGAATGTGATAAATTCTGTTGAATTCGCTTGCTTCAATCTATTATTTTCCCTCGCTAAAAAAATTGCACAAATAAACGTTTAATCAGACAAATGAAATTTGTTTCTATAACCTTAAAAAAATTGATTTAAAAATTCTTTTTGATAGGAAAATATACGGAAAAATTATGAATTTACAAAAATGCTGGCGCAATGAAGCATTTTCAGAAAAAAATTGATTTTGCAACCGATAACATGACATTGAAGATATGGCACGGGTGTATCAGGTAACGAATAGGCAGGAAAATAGATGATTAGACGATGAAATCTGTTGTAATAAAAATAAAAAATAAAATCTTATTCTCAGGTAACTTGCTTTCTTCATTATTTTTTGAGAAAGGATTCCAAATCTTTTTGTGATAGAAAACTGAAATTAAGCATGTGCTAATATACTACAAATTTCAAAATCTTCAAACTTTGCAAGTAAAAAATTTTAATTGGAGAATTCGAATTTGTCACTTATCATTATCCAAATCTCGTCACTATTTAAAGAAATTTTAATATCATTACTGTTGAAAAGTCAAGCTAAGATTGTTATTTACTAAACCTTGATCATCTACTTAATTAAATAATTTTAGGGAAACTATTTATTGCTCATGTCTTAACAGGTTCCATCTATGGCTGAGTAAGTGGCTTCATGCTTTTTGCAACGTTTTGCATAAAAGAATTAGCGTCTTCTTAAATTTCTAAATCATCCTAATAATTTTGATGACATTTTTGATGAATTTTTAATTATACTAACTTCAAAATTATTTTAAATTATAGTTACCATCTTCATCGTTTCAATAAATATATAGACAATAAAATTTATCTGGTTTTTTTGAAAAAGAAATTGAAAACTAGAGAAATCTATAAGATAAAAATCATTTCAAGAGAATGCGAAAATAATTGGAAAATTAAGCAGTGTAGATATGATACGCTTTTCATCTTGAAGGTCATTCAGCAAACGACAGTACCATCATTATAAAGAATAACAAGGGGAGCTATAGCCGTTGAGCTTGACAAAAATAATAATGAACATATAGTTCACCGTAGTTGTTAAAGGTAATTATATTGAAATAAGAAAAAGCTTTGAAAAATTTTTCGGTTTTTTTAACTTTATATCTTAATCTTATCTCTTTTACCTCTCATTTCCAGTACCGCAAAAGGTCTTACAATTAGAAATATCATCCAATTACTTCGATATTATCAGTGTTATTCACTATCAGTCTCATTAATGACAAATAGGTCATTGGTATTCTTGCTAATGCAATGAATGAATATCATTAACTAATATAATTTTATGAAGTTCTAAATTATTTCAAAATACCAAATATTATCATCCATTATTTACATTTAATATTGACTAGATTAGAACAGTTTATTAGTTGGCACGATTAATTTCATTCAAGAAAAATCAGTAGGATGTTGGATCATTGATTATTTCATAAATGCACTTATGCACAAACAGAGTAAAAATGCATTTTCTAATTAAACGTTAAATTTAAATATCATTAACTGATATAAAGAGAAGTTTATATTTCTTATGTCTATAAAAAAAAGTAAGTAAATCATCCGTCGTTTATCACTCAAAAATCAATTTATTTAATCCTTAATTAAGCCTTTTTTACAGAAATTGTAGGAAACGAACATTTTTAGTTTTTTTCTACGCTTTCCTTTTGTTTATTCAATTTACAAACGATGCTTTTTCAGTATTGTGATTTCAAAATTTTACTTAAACGATTACTATAAATTATTCATTTGGAATTTTATTAAATTTTGCAGAAGATATTCTCGGCAGTTCATTTAATTATACTCAAAAGAATTGATTTCAGTAACTGTAGCCTATTTCATTTTTTATTATAAATTGATTTTATCATTTAAAATAGATTATATGTATTTTAATAGTTCGGATAAATTGATGAAAGGATAGATTGCTGAAAAAAAGATCTTTAGGCGAGATATTGCAGCAAAAGAATCGATTGTGGAAATATTGATATTGCTATTGTATAATATTTGAATTAAAATGAATGTGTAAGAGATGCTATTAGACAAATCAGAACTCATAGAAAAGGATAGTGCCAGATCTAAAAGAGAAGAATGCTTTCATTTTAATAAGGTTGTTCAGATATTCTTGAAATGTTGCTTCTATCTGAAAAGAAATGAAATTATGCCTAAAATGTGATTCAATCACAATTAATTTTTTGTTTCTATTAAAGGGGATATTCTGATCGCTAGAAGATATAAAAATTTTTTTTTTTCTACTAATCTTTTCATTCTTTTTTAAATCCTTAAAATGTAATCAGGTTTGCTGAATTCGAAATTTTCAACCTTCATATATGCGTATATAATTTAGCAAATTCATTAATACTTGTGTATAGACATGCAAGCTATAAATCACCATCGTACCGAAGGTGTTGAGTTGTTGATATGTATTTATATGTGTCAATAAATAGGTTTATATCACAAATCACTAAAGATTTTTAAAGTGTGGAATGAGGATAATGAACTCTCGATAGCTTTAGTGGAAGTTTCTATGGTTGCTCATATTTAAAAACAAAAAAAAAAAACATGACATTGTTGCAACCTTGACCTATCAATTATATATTCCACGAAATTGACGATGTTGGTAATCATGATAAAGTTGTAACTATTATGATGATGTTAGCGTAGAGATAGTGAAGATGAAATTATTATTATAAATAAAGTAATATTAAAGAATACTTTAAAAAATTTTTTGGAAATTTATTGGAATTAGAAAATATATAGTCAAGTTTAAAGAAATAGTGAAAAAATTTAGCTTCTCATATAATCACTACTACCAGCCATTTTTTCTAATGTCATTATATAATTATTCTAAATTTATATCTTCTTGTTCTAAGTTTTTCCAAGCTCTGGTTAGTGAAACAAAATATTTCTTTTCAAAAGATTCCTTCACACATATGCATCATA